ATGAGGCTCAGCTGTGATTGATTAGCGCTGACCTGCTTCCTGTTTCAGGGATGATGATTCGCCCAAAGGGAAACCAGCTGGAGATCACCTTCTCCACCTCAGACACCGAGAGCTGGGACGGCTTCATCCACAATCTCAACTCCTTCCTGTCCCGTAAGAGCCCCGCCTCTTTAACCACTTATCAATGTAACTGAAAGGTTACCTGCCCGATTACCTGTCACACCTGTGTCTGCACCTGTGTGTCTGCAGCGTACAACGACAGCTATCAGGTTCAGACCAACGATGAATGCACACCTGACGAGTACTTCATCCAAGAGGACAGTGGAGAGGTACACCTGTCTGACCTACACCTGTCTGTCTGATCTACACCTGTCTGTCTGATCTACACCTGTCTGACCTACACCTGTCTGTCTGACCTACACCTGTCTGACCTACACCTGTCTGTCTGACCTACACCTGTCTGACCTACACCTGTCTGTCTGACCTACACCTGTCTGATCTACACCTGTCTGTCTGATCTACACCTGTCTGACCTACACCTGTCTGTCTGACCTACACCTGTCTGACCTACACCTGTCTGTTTGACCTACACCTGTCTGTCTGACCTACACCTGTCTGATCTACACCTGTCTGACCTACACCTGTCTGTCTGACCTACACCTGTCTGATCTACACCTGTCTGACCTACACCTGTCTGTCTGACCTACACCCGTCTGTCTGATCTACACCTGTCTGATCTACACCTGTCTGTCTGATCTACACCTGACTATCTCACCTACACCTGTCTGTCTGACCTACACCTGTCTGACCTGCTGTCTCTGCAGGTGAGGAACAATCCCAAACGTTCCTGTCAGTTCAATCGGACGATGTTGGAGGAGTGTTCAGGGGTTTTGGATCGTTTCTATGGTTACGACAAAGGACAGCCGTGCATCCTCATCAAACTGAACCGGGTATGACCTCTGACCCCCATGTTAAGCCACTCTACACTCTAGTGTTACTGCAATGAAAATTATTTTGCCAGAGGAGGAAGTGCTTCCTGTCTGTAGGTTTCAGAAAGCGGCCAATCAAAAGAGACTTTTAACCTCAAACCCTCCAATGACATTCTCACGAGCTGTTCTTCTACCTGCTGCAGGTGATCGGGATGTTACCGGGGAAGGACAGACAGTCTCCTTATGTCACCTGTGCAGCAAAGGTCTGTAAACCTGTCTGTCTGTAAACCTGTCTGTCTGTCTGTGAACCTGTCTTCATCTCACCTGTGTCGTCTCCATCCTCAGAGGTACAGAGTGGGTGAAAATGAGTGGGTAAGACCAGCAGACCAGGAAGTAGATCATGATAGAGTCCCTTAGTGCCTCCATCACAGAATCACAGCAGAGTTACGTGTTAGTAACCTCCAGTTACAGGTTTTTGAAGCGTATTGACGACCAATTAGAGGTGTTGATCAGTGTGTTTGTGTGCAGAGGGAGGACAGCGACAAGATCGGACCTTTGGCTTATTATCCTCCTAATGGGACCTTCAACCTCATGTACTACCCGTACTACGGCAAGAAGGCCCAGGTACTCGCTCAGTATTCACTCAGTGCACACTCATGTACATGCTCAGTACACACAGAGTACTGTACTCATACTGACATGCGATGTGTTTACTGTCTCAGGTGAACTACACTCAGCCTCTAGTGGCCGTGAAGTTCCTGAACGCCTCTCTGAACACAGACATCAACGTGGAGTGTAAAGTGA